CATGCAAATTTTCCGCAAATATCTTGCAGGTCCTAAACGTCCGATGGAGATGGGACAAGGACCATTCGATCCTAAATTTAATACCAAATCATTGCATTACCTATCATGATATGAATAGGGTTGGGACCTATCTGCATGCTCTGTATGTTTTGGTAAAATAAAAAAGCTCAGAATTTTTAATGATTTAATTTAAAATCACTTTGTTAAAAAAATGCCTAGTTAGTTCAGAAATTAATTATTTGTGGCTGAAAACAACTTGCTTCTGATTGGTCGGGCTAATCATGACGTCACATGTAGGTATATAACTGTCTGTATATTTGGCGCAGTTGAGACATACATTTTCTATGTATTTTCCTATGGTAAATCGGAGTGATTGGTCGTGTTTTCAGTGTCTCTTTATTTTGCGCTGGTATTGCGTGGCTAAGAAGTTTTATCAAGAATGGCATATACTAAAATGTTCCTTTAATAATGGAGCTTCAATATCTGTGAGTTTTATTGGCAAGCGAAAACTGATTTAGCTGTTATTTTATCTGGAAATTACTCATTTTTTAAGGTCAATATTCAAAATATTTTACCAGAACAAGTTGGCACTTTTCTTGATTTTTGCACTCAAATCGCGTGCGATTCAACTGTATTGGAACTTGCAAAGAAGCTTGGTGATTAATTAACTGTGTTGTTATGGCACTGTTTGCAAAGCATGGATAATGAAACTCTGCCAAAGACTTAGCTACATAGCAATGCCTCAAGTAATACGCAGGAGGAACAGAATTCAGAGTCCGATCGAGAAGAATCGGTGCAAATGCTACGAAGACCAGGCAGCTCTGATACAATAGCTAGTCGTCTCACTACTCTCACTCCATTAGACCAGCTGATTCCTGACAGCACCGACTCGGATGCAAAGATGGAGCTCATCTTCCAAGCCAGAAACCAGTTCTTTGATGGAAGATGTGATGCTGCCTCTGTCTCTGCTTTGTTGGCCACTTTGAACGGGGCGGAGCTCCGCTCCTTGCGTGAGCGGTTATTCGCCTGTCATCCTATGTATCCTATGTATCCTATGTACATGTTTGTATGTCCTATGTATGTTTGTTTTAAAAACGTTGCAGCGGCGCTGGGAACTGCAGTCTTAGATCTGGGTATGTTTGGCATCTGCAACTCTTCATATACACATTAACCCTATTTCGGACGGGGAGACCTTTCAGGATTTTCTTGTACAATTGCCAAACGCCGCGAGACATTCAGCTCATATTTGGTGACTTTTCCTAAATGCTCATTGCGCACATCTCAGCAAAAAAAAAGCCGGGTCAGGTCAGGTCAGGTCAGGTAACCAGAGCGGGTTTGTTGACCCCACCTCAGAAAAGTTTGCAAACACGTCAGAGCTTGAGCTTTTCACGAAGTTATTTCCTCTCATCATGTCTTCAAAACAGTACCTGCAGTATGTGTCGTTTGTATATCTCAGAATTTTTGATCTGTGACCTGAGGTTAGGTCAGAGTCGTGACCTTTACATTGCAAGCCTATGGAAAAGTATTGAAATGCGACCTGCACCTCGAGTAAACGAGTCAAAACCACCCAATTCTTTAAGAATTATGACAAATTATCTTATCTGTAATGATCCAGGTGCCATTTACTGACAGGGACACCGGAGAGGGTTATCTGAGCCGAGATCATGTGAGGTGATATCTACCATACATCAATGCTCACAATACTTACAATATTGACAATGCTTTTGCTTACAACACTTACAATACTTACGATGAGACCAGCAAGCACTCTGCCGTTACAGTTCTAACTTCTGCTTCGAAAAACGACGTTACACACATTCGCTGCCAGCATAACATGTATTGTTTGACAGTAACAAAATACAATTGACATCTGAACCCCAAACGGACCGCCATCCACTCAAATTTTATAACCCTGACCGGTCAGGTCAGGGGGCGAATGGAGGTCATTTCCTGGGCATTACACTCAGCCCTTGCACAAAATATCTCACCTCACAGTGATCATTACAACAATAGCACCGACTTGATAGTGGATTTCAAAGTACTTGCATCAGCTCTTCCTGCTATTGCAGACGATCATCTCCTCAGGGTAATGTTGTTCGGAACTTCGGGACATGAACGAAGATCGTTTTCGGAGTTTCATAAGTGCTACTGCAACAGCCTGGCACAAAACAGGACTTGTACGCTCTTCTCTGCACTTTGCCCTTCAGTATATCACAAAAGAATTGTTTAGAATCCATCTTACGCTTCTTTCACAGTCTCCCTTGCCACCGTAGGGCGTAGATAGATTGCTGTTGCTGGTAAGTTAAGGCACGGTAGATAGAAATTACCTCGGTTCTCAACGCCTTAAGTTATTTTCATAAAAAAAGAACAAATAAATGATCAATAAGACCAGTATAACGCCTTTTGGGGCGACTAACGGAGCGAGCGAGAGGGTGAGCCTTGCACGTGCGAAATTTCGAGGGGGTACCTCCAACTGACTTGTGCACGGCACCCTACTAACCGGTCTCTAGCAATGTGCCAAATTTGAGCACAATCGACCCAGCCGTTCTCGAGATCTGGAAGCGACACCCTGCACGTGCGCACGTGCAAAATGGGTCCCAACTGACTTTTGCACGGCACCCTACTAACCGGTCCCTAACCATGTGCCAAATTTGAGCGCCATCGGTCCAGCCGTTCTCGAGATCTGGAATCGACCCCTGCACGTGCGCACGTGCAGCAGCACCCCCACTCTGGCACATGGATATGCATTGCCTAGTGGGTGCCTACCTACATGCCAACTTTCAGCACAATCGGCCAAGTAGTTACCGAGATATTGCAACAATTACAAAAGTGACACCTCTTCGTTTTGCACGTGGCACGTGCATAAGGGGTCACCCACATGCATCGGGAATAGTCCAATACTTGGTAGAAGGAATGCAGCTACCCTACAAAAATTACCGCATGTAAATCGGTCAAGTGGTTGCTGAGATATAAGCCTCGCAAAAGCGTGACCACGGCCGGCCGGCCGGCCGGCCGGCCGGCCGGCCGCTCATACTCAGAAATTTCCGTTAATCTAAGGAAAGACTACGCTCGCTTCGCTCGCTCCGTAATGACAGGAATGTAAACATTTTAATCGTAAAGTAGTCCAAATATTGGAATGAGCTTTTGCTTTTCAGCATCCTCCGATTCATCATCTTTATCATTTGAAAATTCGAGGTACATAAAATGTTTATCACGCGCTCATGTTAAGTGGGAATATAGTACACGGCAGACACATCAATTTTTGACACTGAACATTTCATCCGTAAATGTTTTAGCATAATTTAAAGTTAAAAACAGCGTGAATGGCAGAGTGAAGCAAACAACATCTTTCACCCATTGATATAACATGTAATCTGTGGTGCGCCAGATGCGCCATTATTTGTCAACCGCAGAAGGTGACATGTGACGTAACAGCATCAAGAGCATCTTTTTTCAAGAACTTTTCAAAACAAGTTTCCTATCTTTCTTCCCCCATTTCTCTCAGCTTATTGATTTTATGAGGCAATGGTATGCACCATAAATTCTGTGAAAATAGTTTGATCATTTTCATGCATTCTTAAAAAATCGAGTTCCCAACCCCATTGAGCCAAGATCTGCCCTTGACCGCACCTGCATTATTTGAATAGTTAACCCGCGCCCTGCTGGGGGGGGGTGTTTGAACACCCCCCCCCCCCCTGTGGTTTTTCGCGAATATCTCAAAAACGGCGGCGCGGAGCGCCGCCGTTTTTGGTACACCTTATCATACATCAATTCTACACATGTTGTGAAAATTTCAGACCAAGGTCATTCAAGGTCAGGTCACCAGGTCACTCGAAGTGACCTCACCTCATAAAAAGTTTCAATGTCTGTCATAGCTACACCGAGTGACCGATCGCTTTGAAACTTTCAGCGATTGCTAAGAGCATTAGCATGTACAAAATGTATATCTCAGAATTTTGATATCGATGACCTAAGGTCAGGTCAATTTTGCGACCTCACCATTATAAGTCAATGGGAGAAAATTGAAATGCGCCTGTTTTGGACGAAAGACATTATAAACACTCCCAAACACTGAATTACAAGTGGTTTAGACACACTGAACATGAAAATGGTGTCTGTGACCCCTGTTTATGCCCTGAGGTCATCTTAGGTCACGAATGGTATCTAACAGTTTTTCGCAAATTACTTTTGATAGAGGCATGCTAGAGCGATGAAAACGCCTTAGATGTGTTCAGCTCGACGATACGGATCGACTGATATGCAACATGACCCTTTCCGGTCAGGTCATGACCTTGACCTGAGGTCAAATTTTCAAGTTGACCTTTCAAGGTCAAATTATAGTTCGTTCGATGCGTCTTGACGAGAGGAACACGATGCCGGTAAAAGTAAGCTCGTACAATGCTTGGGTCAAAAGTTATTGCAGAAAAACTGTTTCCGAAAAAATCGGCTATTTTTGTAGTTTTTGCCCCCTGCAGGCAAAACCGTTGACGTTAGGTCAAATCTGAGAAAATTACTCAGAAAGGGCGTTAATAGGGCTATCGAATGCGCTTTTCCGCGGCGCTGTAGCTCTATTGGTTCCCGAGTTATGCGTTGGCTTCTTGGAAATTTTCGACATTCGACCTGGAAATCGGCGAAAATTTGCCTTCAATGACCTCTGGTGACCTGACCTTTGACCTGACCAAAAAATTGACCGAAGTAATTTCGTCATTATTTTTGACGCTCTTTCGAACGCCGCCTTCTGCGTATCGCTACGTGGCCCAGGAGCCGAGTTAGAAGGGGGGGTGTTCAAACACCCCCCCCAGCAGGGCGTGGAAATCCAGGACCCCCAGCCGGGCGCGGGTTAAAAAATTCACGTCAAGTCCGACAAATGCAGCCCCTCCCCCTTCCCCATCTGTTAATCCCGTGGGACTCGCTCCCCTCACCCCCCCCTCTCTCTCTCTCTCTCTCTCTCTCTCTCTCTCTCTCTCTCTCTCTCAAGCTCTAACTCACAACTCACTCACCTAGCATCCTGACCACCATCCTGCGGCACTGCACTTGCGAGCGCTCGGCCTCGCAGCTGTTGCCAGCCTCGGAGCTAGCACAGCGCCGGAGGCTACCGCTGCGCCTCAGCGCCAGCGCGATGTTCAGGTACAGCACCAGGATCAGCGCCATGGGGATGACGAAGAAGAAGAGCGTGCTGAGCGGCATCAGCAGCAGCAGCTTCCAGTCGGGATCGGCGAACGAGATGCCGCACCAGGAGGCCTCCTGGATCCGCCGGCCGCCGTGCTCGTACAGAAAGTTGACCTGACGACGGAACATAGATAGGAAGATAAGTACTCGTAGATAGAAGGAGTCGTCAGATACTTAAAAATAGAAAAGAACGTTGATGGGCATGCTTGACATGTTAACATGTTGACATGTTGTTTTGAACAGTTGACATGTCGATGGAATACAGATAGATAAGTAAGTACAGTTACATAGATAGAAGATGAATCGTCAGATGGGTGAAGTTGAAGAAGATGGGAGCAAAACGCTGATGGAACAGTCGACAGTCGACATACGGATGGAGTAGAGTGGCGATGAGCAAGTTGTCCTATCGATGGCAGGGAATGATTATGGGAAAGTTGACCAGTTGAATAGACATAATGTCAATGGGGATGAGTGCAGAATTAACCCACCAGAGCGTCCGCTGTAAGTTCTATGAAGTGCGCGATATCAGATTTATGTTATCTTTTTTTCATTTTCGTGGACAATATGATGTTGCATTGATTGATTACACAATCATGAACACATCATAAATGCTATCAGCAATGTGTAGCAAAAACGTATGACACAATGAGAAGAAGTCAAAGAAAAAGTGTCGACAATATCCCATTACATGCACGCTGTCATGGCAACCACCATTCATCTTCACAACAAATGGTATCTGCGCTGTTATGGGCGACAAAAGAAAACTAGACTAATGAATAAATAATCGCTGGGGAAATGTGTTTCCAGCACCGTAGGCACGCGATACTTCAATTATCGACCGATCACACCATACAAATAGCAGCGAGTCAGTGCGGGCGGGTGCCGCCGACCTACCCCCCCCCCCCTTCCTCGCCGGCGGTGGGAGGGGAGAGGGGGCTGTGGGCGGTCCCCGGGGGTGGGCGGCGGTCCATGAGTCCCGCATGGTGCCTTCTCCTGAGGGCTCGGCAAACAGTCCGCATTGATCGCTTTCCCGCGGCGCGGCTCTGTCCCTACTGCCACACTCGAGAATATGCAGACGGCTGCCGAGCAGCATCGCTGCATAGCTCATCGGTGAGACAGCGCAATAACCCCGCGGTTACCCCGAAATTACCCTGTTCTTGCCTCCAAGCGGCTACATAGTGGTTTCTCTTTTATCACACTACAATGTTTCTACATTACGATTGGCAGCTTTGGCAATCCAATTTGGTGGTAATCCAAGGTTGATAATCCATTTTGGAGCTGCAATCCACGATAACCACATGGTTTCCCAATTCCCTTTGAGGTTACTCCGCGATTTTTCCGTGGTCACCAGCAATTGTGCATCGTCATTCGTTACCCTTCTTAGTTATCCATCAATAACTCCTTGGTTACCCCAATTATCCCGTAATCATCCCAGTTACGCCAGTATCCAATGCCAAGGGTAACTCTCTGGTTAAAGCCTGGTTGCAATACAACCATGGTTTCCTTCTCGTTGCCCTAAAGTTACCCCACACTACGACCTTCAGCGGTCGGCAAGGCGCCGACAGCAATCTGTCATGATTGTAGGCCGACCGATGACAGCTGAAACGAAATATATGACAGATGGGAGGACGTCTGGCATTACCCACCGTCCCGCGCGGATCCCGCAGACTGCGAGACAGGCTGGCGAGAAAGTTAGGACGGCCCTTGACACACGGAGGCGTTATTACGCACACTCGCAGCTGTATAATGGTGCGGAGAGCGTTATAATAGACAAAAATAGCGTTCACTGGGGACGCTGTCGCACATAATCACTAGTAGGTAGGTGCGAGTTAGCACATGAGTTATGCACTAGAAAGTTGAGTAGGGTGTAATTGTGGAGCGTCAGATATGCTTGTAACAGTCCAGCCGTAGAAAGCTATTTTTGTGGCATTATTAATTTTAGATGTATGCTGTTAATCAATCATTGCAAGCAAAGAACACGACATTATGCACAACCTGCGTACCTACTTAACTATAAGCGTAGTTCTATCTATAATTGTTCTGTTTGCACATTTTCTGTTTGAAGAAATAATGACTATAATACCATATGATAAACTAAGAAAAAAAACATCGAATTCTTAACGTTTTAACATCACGACGAAAGTACAATAAACTCGGCGGCTGATTCGCAAACTATGGTCTCATTGAACCGGTGATGTTATCGGTCACGCCTGTCCCAAGATAAAAAACGAAAAGAAGAAGCAAGCAAATCATCATCGGCAGAACAATCAGTACTGAGCTTTTAAAGCCGAGGACGATCGGAAACCTGATTTAAGCGTATTGTTGCTTTCATTTACTTAGCCAATTCAAACACTTTATTCTGTAGTGAATTTCCCGGAAATCAAACGTTGCAATATTCAATCGACAGCGCCATTGTGCAAAAGCACTATGACTTTGCAATGCATGATGCATGCGTAATAAATAATGTTTGGATTAGATTTATTCAATGTTCGCCGTTGCTTTTACCATAAGCCGATGCATTTGTCTCCAGGTCATAGGGCAGAAATGGCGTTTATACCCACGGTCGTGCAAAGTTTCAGGCGGCCAGAGCCTGTACAAACAAGCACGCAATATGCAGAAGAGACGTAAACACTTCCTAATGTGGAAGCTCGGCTCGTATATCCTGCTATTTTGTATGGAGGCAAACAAGCCGCACAGGTGCCCATCTAGTGATATGACTCGTCGGACAGAAAGTTACGAACTCATCAATGAAAACCAACCCTCATAGTCAAAGTTTTCCTATCTTTGAATGAACTTCAGTATTTTTTACTGTTCTACTCCTTTCTGTGCTCATAATAGGTCTTTGCGAAGAAGGGGAAAACTATTTATTGCGAAAGCTTGCTATACATACTTCGTGGTCTAATGCTTCTCTCTCCCCTCTCCATCTCTCTCCCTCT